TTCTATTTGCTGCGTTTGGAGCTGGTTTTTGAAGATATAAATTTGTAACTATTGATGTTTCTTCAAGGTTTTAACTTGGTTAACTAAGGTAATCATCTCGGGACTCTTTTATGATTGTTTTTATGAATTTCTACGGAGTTTCGACAAGTTGGGGCAATATGGCAAATCTGCCGATATAAGATTAATTATAAACTATTTATAGGTGCGTACCAACTATGTATATATAGTGTTTGCGAAGCTTAGGACATAAGGAACAACTTTCGTGAAGGAACAACGGTCTTTCGAGCGCTCATTGGAAAGGTATGTTAAGGTTATTCCCTACTTACGACATGTTTCCTTAAAGTTTAGAAGCAATGTATTTGGGTTGTTATCCTTGATATATTGTTGGCTGCTCGAGTTGATATAATCCTCCCTTGTCAGGATTCTTATTCAGTTAGTAGAGTCCCTATGTTGGACACGACTTAAGAGGCTATTTGTATAGGTTGCTTATAACTAAATTGCTCGCTTTTAGCGGTTGGATTGTTATTATTGTCGTTGGGGCTATTGTGGTTAGCTGCAGGAATGTGATCTATGCCTAGAAGGGCTATGTTCGGCCTACAGGGCTATATGGATGCCTAACAGGGCTATGAGTTGCCTACATGGCTATATTGACGCCTAAGAAGGTTATGTTCTTCCTACAGGGCCATGTTGTTGCCTAAAAGGGCTATGAGTTGTCTATAAGCTACGTTGATGCCTAAAGGAGCTAAGTGCTACCTAAGGGGCTATATTAATGCCTAAGAGGGCTATGTGACTACCTACGAGGCTAGGGGACTACTGATAGGGGTATATAGGCTGATTGGCACCTTCCGGGCTTCTGGGGGCCTGAGTAGGTGGTCTTGTGTGCTGTTTGTACCTGCCGAGCTTATGGGGGCTTGGTTAGGTTGTTGTTTTATTATTTTTGATAAGTTTAGATTTAGGAGCAGGTCAGTATACTTATCTTAGCCTTGATTTATTTATTGGATTATTCCAGTATATCAGGATACCTCATCATAGTCTATTGCCTTTCATACTCTGTACATTATTTTGTACTGATGCCCCATGGCCTTGGGGGCGCTGCATTCATGCATGCAGGTCCTGACAGACGACTGAGTAGACCTCCTCAGCAGTAGGATTGACTTTTATCCGATTGGCTAGCCCCTTTCCTCCAGAGCTGCCAGAGTTGGGAGGTTTATTACATTTTGTTGTATATATCTTTTATGGGTAGGCTGGGGCCTTGTCCCACCAATCTTTACTACTCTTAGTTTTAAGCCGAGATATACTTGTTTGATTTCTTGATTGTGTGTGGCTGTCATGCGCTAGTAGCAAATGGTTCAGCAAGGTCGGCTCGGGCCTGAGTTTTGGCATTAGGAGCCAGTTGCACCTCTTGAGTTTGGGGCGTGACAAAAATGAAAATGTTTATTCCATATTACTAAATATAAAATTTATTTTGTTAATGATAAATTTTAAATGATTCATATATATTCACATATTTTGATATTTGTTGTGAGTTATTTTTCTTTAAAAAAAAGGAATTCGAAAATTTTTAAAATAATATATTTTGAAGTTACAAGATCTTGTTAACTTGATATATATATATATATATACACACACACACGTTTGCATTAATGAAAATATATATCTCATAAAAATTAGCTATTAAATAAATAATAAAAATTAAACTAATACAGACTTCAACTGGCGTTATTAGAAGTCATATGAACATTTCTTCGTCGAAAATACTTAAATATTAAGAAATAGTAAATTAGTAAAACAAAAGGGAATGTTTACATAGTAACAATTATTTTGAAGCAAACTTTCTGATAATCTAAATCACATAAGTAACATTGATAAATAAAGTCATTCTTTTGTCTTGAGAATCAAAAAACAAATCGTGAAAATTCTTTAACTCTTGAGAAGTTTAATAATTTTGGAAAAAGATATTCAGAAACATACAACTACATCACAAGAGAAATTGTTAACAAAAACAAATGAATTTATACGACAATAAAAATTAAATTAATACAAACTTCAACTGGCGTTAGTACAAGTCATATGAGCTTTTATTCGTTGAAAATACTGAAATTTTAAGAAATACTCCCTCTGTCCCAATTTATGTGACTTACTTTTCTTTTAGTTAATCCCAAAAAGAATGATACATATCTATATTAAGTAACAATTTAATTAGAAAATGTCTATTTTAACCTTAATGAAATGATTTACAGCCACACAAATTTTTATCATTCATTTTGGATCACAAGTTTTAAAAGTCTTTCTTTTTTTCTTAAACTTCGTGTCGAGTCAAACTACCTCATATAAAATGTGACGGAGGGAGTAGTAAATTAGTAAATCAAAAGAGCAATGTTTATGTAGTAATAACTATTTTGAAGCAAACTTCCTGACAATGTAATATTGCTAAATAAAGTCAATCTCTTATCTTGGGCATCATAAAAACAAATTGTGACAATTCTCTAACTCTTGAGAAGTTGAATAATTTTGGGAAACGATTTTCAGAAGCATATATCTACATCACAAGAGAAATTGTTAACAATAACAAAGGAATTTAGACTACAATAAAATTTAAACTAATACAAATTTCAACTGGCGTTATTAGAAGTCGTATAAATTTTTCTTCGTCTAAAGTACTGAAATATTAAGAAATAGTAAATCAATAAAACAAAAGGGCAATGTTTATATTAACAAAAAGGCAACGTTTATATAGTAATAACTATTTTGAAGCAAACTTACTGACAATCTAAATCACTTAAGTAACATTGTTAAATAAAGTCATTCTTTTGTTTTGAGCATCAAAAAACAAATCGTGACAATTCTCTAACTCTTGAGAAGTTGAATAATTTTTGAAAAAGATGTCCAGATGCACATATTTATATCACAAAAGAAATTGTTAACAAAAACAAATGAGCTTAGACTACATCATGATAACTTCATATATTGGAACATTACATACTAGCTAAGCAAAAAAATAATTATTATATCATCAGAATTATTTTCCGCAAGTACTCGAGGTTAAGGAATATACCCTCTTACGATATAACAATTTACTTCATCAAAGTAGTGGTATATCATAGTCCGCTAAACTTTGAACTCACTCAAGGACAATAAATCACATGAAATTTTTTAAAATGCAAGAAGAAGAAGAGTAGAAGATTAAAAAAAATTGTGGTTAAAAAATGAGAAGAAGCCCCTCTATTTATAATCAACAAAGGGTAGTATGAATAAATATTTTTTGTGTCTTATCTGAAAAGTCATGACCTTTCCAAGAAGTCACAACCCTTTAAAAAAGTCACAACTTATTGAAAAAGACACAACTATTTAGAAAAGTCACAACTCTTTGAAAAAGTTACAACTCATCGAAAAATCACAATCCTATGAAAAAAGTCAAAACTTATCAGAAAAGTCATAACTCATCGAAAAAGTTACAACCTAAGTTGAAAATATTATAATAATTTAATATTCAAGTCAAGTTATGAATTCATGTTTTTAAGGTAATATAGATATATATATATATATATATATATATATATATATATATATATATATATAAAAATTATGCTTTTGATGGTAAAAAAAATAAATTGTAATCTTTGGTGCTCAATAAGCCCCTTTTCCATTGTAAAATAGAGGTGGCGTTGTTATATGTACCAAATTCACTTGAGATATAGGGCTGAGATTAATCGTGGGCAAGCCATCCTATAGATTCTTCCCCCCACCTTAAATTCTCTTCCGTTGCTTCCCAGAAAACTTTCCTGCTCTTCCTCCTTTCTCTATATATTTTTCAATTCTTCAGATCCGAATCGATTGTCATTTTTGTCCCGAATCTTCCGATTCAATTTATATTCAAAAAATTAAAATTTTGTGTTGAAAAAATCGTATTTTGTGATTTGAATCTTGAAATTGTTTGTGTTTTTTATTGTGATTGTGAGAGGAGTATAGTAGGTGGTGATTTGAGAGTAACGGTGATGGAAGAATGTAATCGAGTTGAAGATGTAGAGGAGGGTGAGATCTCAGATTCGGCTTCAGTTGAAGAAATCAGTGAGGATGCGTTCAATAGGCAAGACCCACCTACTACTACTACTAAGATTAAGATTGCGAGTAATGAAAATCAAAATCAAAATTCGACGACGACTAGGGTTTGGACGATGAGAGATGTATATAAATATCCAATTTCTAGGGATTATGCTAGAGGTTTGTATAACCTGGCTTGGGCTCAGGCTGTGCAGAATAAGCCTTTAGACGAACTATTCGTCATGACTAGTGACAATTCCAACCAGTGTGCTAATGCTAATGCTGATGTTGAATCCAAGGTCATCATTGATGTGGATGTGGATGACGATGCTAAAGAGGAAGGAGAGTTGGAGGAAGGCGAGATCGACTTGGATGCCGCTGACCTAGTTCTAAATTTTGGAAAGGAGGCCAATTTCGTCAGGGAACAACTTCAGAGTGTTACTCTAGACGAAACCCACAAGTAAACTTGTTAAAACTCTATTCATTCTAGTTCTAGTCTAGTAAATAACTTCATCCACTAATTATGCTTTGTTTCACTAGATCCTTTTCTATGGTTTGTTCCAAATTGCAAACTTCATTACTGGCCTTGGGGGAACTAGCTCTTTCTCAAGACAAGAATGACATTCTTATTAAACTGTTTATGACCGCACTCCGAACCATTAATTCTGTAAGATATATTCATTCTCTACTACTTTCAGCCTCATCACATACCTCAAATAATGCTCAAATCTCTTTCCTTTGCTTTCCAGGTTTTCTACTCCATGAACCAGGATCAGAAGCAACAAAACACAGATATTCTATCTAGGTTTTTTCCTCTTCCTTTTACATTTGTCACTCCTATTGCATTTGGACGCATTCTAATCTAACTCCCTTGCAGGTTGCTTTTTGATGCAAAGACACAATTACCTGCTCTTTTGTCTTCTGAGCAGTTAAAAGAGGTGTGTTTTCATAAATATATATATGTATGTATTGAGAAAACTTGCAGTTCTGGTAGCTTATACTGCCTACTTTATGTCCCAGGTGGATGCTGTGATTCTCTCTATTAACCAGTCAGCTGTTTCCTCAAATACTCAAGACAATGACAAGGTCAATGGGATCAAAGTCGTTGAATTGTTAGATATGAAGGTTTCTCATAAATCCTCTGAAAATGCAAATCAGGATTTTACTTCTGTAAACAAGTATGATTTAGGTGCTGTATCTATCAAATCTTCAGGCCTGAAGGAGCAGAGTGTGTCATTTGAATCTGTAAAACCAGGATTAGCCAATTCTAAAGCTAAAGGGTTATCCATTCCTTTGCTAGACCTCCATAAGGACCATGATGAAGATACTCTTCCGTCGCCTACACGAGAGATTGGACCACAGTTCCCTGTTGCAAAAGCTACACAGGCTCATGGAATGGTGAAACTGGGCTTGCCTATTTTTGCGGGTTCTCTTGAGAAAGGGAATTCTTTATTGCATCCTTATGAAACTGATGCCCTTAAAGCTGTTTCCTCTTATCAACAAAAATTTGGTCGAAGTTCCCTGTTTGTTAGTGAAAACCTTCCAAGTCCAACTCCGTCTGAAGAGGGTGATAGTGGCAAAGGGGACATTGGTGGGGAGGTCACCAGTTTTGATGTTGTACATAATGCCAGCCATCTGAATGAATCTAGCATGGGGCAACCAATATTGTCTTCTGTTCCCCAGACCAATATTCTTGATGGACAAGGACTGGAAACTGCTCGGACTGCAGATCCTCTGAGTTTTCTGCCAAATTCTTCTTTGCGATCTTCTACAGCAAAAAGTAGAGATCCCAGACTCAGACTGGCAACCAGCGACGCAGTTGCTCAGAACACGAATAAAAATATCTTGCCTATCCCAGACATTGATTTGAAATTGGAGGCTTCTTTAGAGATGATTGGTTCAAAAAAGCAGAAGACAGTAGACCTACCAGTCTTTGATGCTCCATTGCCGAAAAGACAAAGAAGTGAACAGACCGATTCAATCATTGTGAGTGATGTGCGTCCTTCTACTGGAAATGGTGGTTGGTTAGAGGATAGAGGGACTGCTGGGTTGCCAATTACGAGTAGTAACTGTGCTACAGATAGTAGTGACAATGATATTAGGAAATTGGAGCAAGTAACAACTACTATCGCTACTATACCTAGTGTCATAGTTAATGCTGCTGAGAACTTCCCAGTAACTGGCATTAGCACGTCAACAACTTTGCATTCTTTGTTAAAAGATATAGCTATAAATCCATCGATATGGATGAATATAATCAAGATGGAACAGCAGAAATCTGCTGATGCTTCTAGAACTACTACAGCACAAGCTTCAAGTTCTAAATCTATTCTTGGAGCAGTTCCATCAACGGATGCAGTAGCTCCCAGATCTTCTGCTATTGGCCAGATATCAGTAGGAATACTTCAGACTCCTACACACACAGCATCAGCGGCAAGTTCCATTTACAACCTTTTGAAGAATGAGTTCATTTACAGTGTGTTCTTTACTGCTTCTATTGCACAGTTCCCCTTTTATTTCTTCCTGACATTTTCAAGGGTTAATCATTTTCTTCTGTTTGGGGTGGAATAAGGTGCAGGGAGGTTCCTTATGTGTTCAATTGGAATTTATTTAATCTTCGTTTTCCATTGTTGTTTTTTGTGTCAAAATGAGAAAATAAACACTCTATTTGATACTTTATGTGACTTTATTATCCTCTAGAATATCTGATGTTGTCAAGATTTGCAGGATGAAGTGGCTATAGTCCGTATGAAACCTCGTGACCCTCGGCGTGTTCTTCATAATACTGCAGTTCTGAAGTGTGGTAATGTTGGATCAGATCAATGTAAAACTGGTGTAGCAGGCACACACGCAACAATAAGCAATCTTGGTTTCCAAAGTCAAGAGGACCAGTTGGATAGGAAGTCAGCTGTGACTCTTTCGACTACACCACCAGACATTGCTCGCCAATTCACCAAAAATTTGAAAAATATCGCTGACATGATCTCTGTTTCACCATCCACATCACCGTCTGCTGCTTCTCAAACTCAGACACAATGCATACAATCTTATCAGAGTAGATCGGAAGGTAAGGGAGCAGTTTCTGAGCCAAGTGAACGGGTGAATGATGCTGGCTTAGCTTCTGAAAAAGGTTCTCCTGGTTCATTGCAACCACAGATCTCTTGGGGAGATGTTGAGCATCTATTTGAGGGGTACAGCGACCAACAGAGAGCTGATATCCAGAGAGAAAGGGCTAGGAGGCTTGAGGAACAGAAAAAAATGTTTTCTGTTCGGAAGCTCTGTCTCGTCTTGGACTTGGACCATACTCTTCTGAATTCAGCAAAGGCGTGAATCTTTTTGAACTTGTAGAGCCTGAGCTTATTTTCTTTGTCAGTAATGATGATTTTTATGATTTTGTTCTTCTTTTTCAGTTTGTTGAAATCGACCCAGTTCATGAAGAGATATTGAGGAAGAAAGAGGAACAAGACCGTGAAAAGCCGTATAGGCACCTATTCCGGTTTCCACACATGGGAATGTGGACCAAGTTACGGCCTGGGATCTGGAATTTCTTGGAAAAGGTAACTGTTTTTCTAATATATTTGTTTGTGTGTATACATACAGCTAGAGTTGAATATTGAGTCTTCTATTTTTATTTTTTGGTAAAATTGGGCTTCTTTAGGCTAGCAATCTTTTTGAGCTGCATCTCTATACCATGGGTAACAAGCTATATGCCACGGAGATGGCCAAATTGCTAGATCCAAAAGGGGATCTGTTTGCTGGACGAGTGATCTCCAGGGGTGACGATGGAGATCCATTTGATGGGGATGAAAGGGTTCCTAAGAGTAAGGACTTGGAGGGGGTTTTGGGCATGGAGTCAGCTGTTGTGATTATTGATGATTCTGTGAGAGTCTGGCCACATAACAAGCTAAATTTGATTGTTGTAGAGAGGTAATTAGTTGTATGTTTGATATCATTCATGATCGATTTCTCATGTATATATGCATATTGGTGACATAATATTGTGCTGTTCAAAGGTCTATGATTAATCATTTTGTATCTTTAGGTATATTTACTTTCCTTGCAGTAGACGGCAATTTGGTCTCCCTGGTCCTTCTCTTCTTGAGATTGATCATGATGAAAGACCAGAAGATGGGACATTGGCCTCTTGTTTGGGGGTGAGCTAATGTTTGATCTTGTATAAGAATATCTATGAGATTAATATTTTTACTACTAATATTCTATATCATTTCATACAATTAGGTTATTCAAAGAATACATCAGAATTTTTTCGCACATCGGTCCATAGATGAAGCTGATGTTAGGAACATCTTAGCGACAGAACAAAAAAAGATTCTGGCAGGTTGCCGTATTGTATTCAGCAGAGTGTTTCCTGTTGGTGAAGCCAATCCTCATTTGCATCCTCTGTGGCAGACAGCTGAACAGTTTGGTGCTGTCTGCACTAGTCAAATTGATGATCAGGTTACCCACGTGGTTGCAAATTCTCTTGGGACGGATAAGGTGTGTTATTTCTCCCAAAAACTATCACTCTACATTGCTCAAATCCCATACCCATTTGCACAAAAATATAGGGAAAAGAAAAAAGTTGGATAAAAGAAACTAGTCGTCGGTTTGGTGAAATGAGAATGAAATGTTTTAGGTAAATGTAGGGAGTTACTAGTGGAGAAGTCTAGCATACGTTGCACTCTGCATGATTGAGTAATGTAATCACTCTCTTAGGGTGTGTTTGCTATGGAGGATAAACATTTTTTTAATTTTTCATGTTTGGTTATTCAAAATTTGTATAAAACATTTTCGGTAAGAAAAGTTCCATATATGACATTTCATCCCTCCCCATCCATACCATCCCCACCTATTACCTTTCATCTCCACCTCCATATTGTCTTTCTAGATTATATATAAATGCTTTTTGGACGAAAATGAGAAACACCAAAAAATAAGAAAGATCACTTATTTTTCAAGAGAGAATTTTCCGTGGAAAACCAAACACAGCCTTAGTCAGATTATTTATCACCCTCCTTTGTTATTACGTTGATAAAAATTTCTGATCCATCATCTAGAAAACTGTGTATGTGGGTATTTAGAGGTTTAATTATTAGCTTGTCTTAACAGGTTAATTGGGCACTTTCCACCGGACGATTTGTTGTTCATCCTGGCTGGTATGATCTCTTTAATATTGAATTGCAGTCCTATCACTAGGGTTTTACTGGTGATATAAGTTGGTAATATTTCTTGATTTATTCCGCACAAAAATAAAATTGCAGGGTGGAGGCATCAGCTTTACTTTATCGGAGGGCAAATGAGCATGATTTTGCTATTAAATCTTAAATTAACACAATTTCCGTCTCTTGGTTAAAAGAAAAACTGAAAAAGGTGTTGAGGATGAAATCAAGAATTGGATGGATGTTATAAACGGAAACACTAGGTAATCAGGCAAGAGAGATTCGTTTTAGGTTATGCCTAAGATTGATTTTGAAGGAATGCACCCAAATCCCTTGCTGGCTTCCAAAGTAATACGGGGTGAAGCTTTATTTATGAGAATTGAGTAGCGCGTATTCTGTTTAAATGCATAGATAACAAAGCTGATGAAGAAAAAGGAAAAGACACTTATGTAGTTGTTCCTTTGGAGACGTGTGATAAACGTTGAACAAGAGCAATACTTGTTTTTATCCGGGTGGAATCGGCAACTGGAATCCCGAATTGATGGCGGTGGCAAACAAGCAATTATTGAATAAATACTCATCGTCCACTAACTAATACACTAACTATCTAGAGCCCTCAATTAAAGAATAACGACTTCAAATGGACTTTAAACCTGCATTGATACATGACATGTTCAAAGCTCTATGATTTTAATTGAATAACGACTTTATATCTGCATTGATAAATGACATGTTCAAAGTTCTATGATTTTAATATAGTTAAAAAATAATAATAATTTGAAGGACGTTGGGATAGTAGTTCTTCCTCTTAATTTGATTTTTCGACATGAATAAATAGGATATGATGTTCTTATTGAATCATGGGTGCAAGCAAAATTAGAACATAAGACGTGGGAGTCATGAGGCAGGGAAAAAAAAATTAATTCTACCAACATTCATTTTGTGCTTGTCCACACTAGTATCATTCTTTATGTTATTGTTAATTACTTTATCAAAATATTCCATATTGTTTATAAGCTTTGAAGTAACCTTTTTCTATATCAAATTAAAGACTAGTAATTTTTGGTTGTGTTGTAAAAATCAATCAACACTTGTTAAGTTTAGATCAGTTGATATTGGTTTTTGGATCATAACAAAAAATTTAACTAGAAAAAAGGGAAACAAATTTTAAGTTTTAATTTTCCTTATAAATAAAAAACATAAATTATACAGGATAAAATCTGAAACAAGAATTCGGTTTTGGAGTAAAAATAGGCAAGTTTATAGGTATGCAAATATTTCATAAAAAGATTATTCATCAACTCTAATTAGAAAATAAATTACTTGCAATGTCAATAACAAGTCAATACTATTTTTAGTATTAATACTTTTGTTAAATATGTATTTCATAATATTCATAGAAATCTTTTACTTTTAGTTTTTATTATTAATTTAATTAAAATATACTAATTTGAAAAATATAAATCAATTATTTTTTATAATATTAGTTAAGAATATATGCTTGTTGATTAATATATTTTCAAAAAATAATATATATATATATATCTTAAATATTTAAGTCAATATTATTTATAAAGTCTCTTATTTATTTAGTATAATTTTTTAAATTTTAGATAATTAACTTTTATTCTTTAAATTTAATATAAACCGATGATTGCAATTATCCAACCAAACATTACATTTGTAATTACAGTGTAATTACGCTATGACAAACAAACAGGTCATCGTAATTACTATGTTGTGTAATTACTAGGCTGGAAATTACTACTTTAGTAATTAAACCACTTCCAATCAACTGGTTGCTTTCCAAACAAACCCTAACAGAAAGCAAAATTTGGACCTTTACCATATTAAATATAAAGTACTCATTTTGTCTCATTTTATGTGACATCCTTTATTTTTTTTGTCCTAAAAAGAATGTCACATTAATATAACTAATATACGTATCCGTGCATTGCGTAGAGAATATTAAAGAACGTAATTATATTATACATTCAAATATATAATATACTCTTGTCTATATGATTTTTTAAATGTAAATTAGTATATCAATGAGTTAGATCTTTCAGTTTATGAGTTGTTATTGCATACTTGTGAGATCATTAGCAAAGTAAATTTATCAGTACTTCTTGATGTATCTTGAATACTTAAAAATTATAAACAAAGATTAAACATTACACAAATTTATCATAAAATTCTCAAGTTGCAAAGAGCATCAAATCTACATGAATTACCTATATATAATTAAATAGGTAATGGATACAAAATGCTTAATAATAATTAGATCGATCGTCTATAATTTTATATTTTAGTCGTGTTATATTTTAGGATCAAAGAACTAAATAAGAAGATGTTTTAACGATTATTGTAGACATACTTTGAAAATGAAGGAACATTTACAAAGCAATATTGTGAATTAACTTGTTTCTAAAGGGAATCTAAGATCAAATAATATGTTATCATGTAGCTACAAAGTTTGAGTAGTATATAATTATTTTGATAATAACTCGCACATCATCATATTTAATTCACGATTCATTTTTAAATTTATTTTTGGTCTATGATGTTATACCCTATTATTTTAATTATATGACACACGTTTTCTTTTATTAAATCCCCCCCCCCCTCCCCTCCCCCCCCCCCCCCCCAAAAAAAAAAAAAAAAAAAAAACAAAAAAACAAAAAACTATGGATCCATCTACCTATTGCATAACAAATATAAATCAATTTATTCTTTGTATCTATTCTTTTTATCAGTTAAAAAAAATGTTTCTCAGGCTATATTTAAATTATCCACCTCCCCCCCCCCCAAAAAAAAAAAAAAATTATTTACTTATTCATGACAATATTTTTTTCTTTCTAACTTGCTCTACAATATTATTTATTTAAATTTGTCTCTAATCTTCATAAATTAGATATTATTAATAGCTAGTTAATTTAGATTAATTTGATATGCTTAATTGTAGGATAAAATCATGTAAGTTGAATATTTTATTTCTAAACCACTTTGTTCTTATTTTATTATTTCTATTTTTGACCTAATATTTGTACTTTTTGGAATCGTAAACTCTTTTATATTTATATATATTACCCATATTTCGATATGACAGTTTTTGAACGAACATTGCACTAAATAGCTGGACTAAAAGCTATACAAATTGTACATTGAGGCCCACTAAATAGCTTAACTGAATAAAGAAAAAATGGCACATCATGGCATCCCATTTTACTAATTGGCAACATATAGCCCTTTTTTTTTTTGACAAAAAAAGATTTTTAAAAATTTAATTTTGCAATTAGTATCCCACGTATTGGGAAGTTCTTTTTTAATTAAATTAAATAATTTTAAGAGATGACATCATGGTGTCTTTTTTTATTGGGAAGTGATTTTTTCTCCCTTTTTTTCTCTTCTTTCCCATACACACGATTCTTTTGAATGATGCTTTTTCATTAATTATGTAAATATTTATTCAATTCTTCTTCTTCATTACTTTGAATAAAAGATGATTTATTTTCTATTTATTAGTTTTACATATTGAGTTCTATAAAAATATTCATCCATAGTGTCTATTTTTTTCTTTCGCTTTTAAATTCTTGATGGTTGTTGATGTCTACCCGTCAATTTCTCAATCTGTTAGCCTATGCTTAATCCCCTCTTGTATTGTCGTTCAATTTTTTTGGGGTTTTAATTTTTGAAATTGAATGTTATATCTTATTTAGGCGAAAATTTATGTGATAGCAATTGATTGTGGGCATCAATTGGCATGCTTAAAAAAGTTATCCCTAGGATTATTCATAAAAGGAGGGATTCTGATTCTAATTCTAATTTTGTGGATTCTCCATCCATAACTCTAAATTTTAGCCATGTAAGTTCTTCTCGTTATCCGATTCGACTTGTGCGTTTTCTGTTGAACATTTTAATTTCATGTGCAATCCTCATTTACACACTGAAGAAAGAATCTGGAATGTATACAAATTATGAGTGAATGAATAAAGGGATATGTATACATGAATGCAATGCATATATGATGTATTCATTCACTTATAATATGTATTAACATGCAAGGTTGGTAAGTTAGGTATCTCCTAAGTGGTTGGTCGTCCAAGTAGGGAATTTCACCATGCAACTTGGTCGGTCTATGGGTGTATAATTTACAAACCTTACCCTTAACTCCAGATTATCCCTCGCAGTAGGTGGGTTAGGCTATACGATAGTGGATTATCACACTAAATCTCTGCTGTTTAATCCCTTTCTCATTCATTATTTCCTTCGTTAGGAAGGCAGGAATAAGGCGAGTTATAACGTTGCACACTGTTAAAAATCATTCAAAACGAAGAGATTAACAATACATGAATAAACACTATTTCAGAATTACTTAATTATTAGTTTTACGTTGTTAATTACTCATGGTTTCCCACAACACTAGTTGTGGATTTAGTTGTTCATGCTTGAGTTATCACAATTCATAATAGAGTTGAAAATATAAATCATGACTTACAAGTAGAATAATTGAAATCCGGAATCTTGACTTGAAGAACAAACGCAAACATCATAAACCCAACTTCAAGAATTAAGTGCCAAAAGTGTCTGCAAAATAATTCCCTAAGCCAAAACAAAGTATCACAAAAAGTCTAACAATACAAAAACAAAATTTACTACTAATATTTATAGAAAATAAATCCTAAAGCAAGTAGGAAAAGGAAGCTTCAGGAAATTTGGTCCTGCCAGTGTCGTCATGAGTGGTCACCTACGACTTGTCACACAAACGACGGCTCGTAGGTGCCCTCACCACTCAACAATTGGTCAAAGTCCTTTGGGTGTTATCAACGAGCCTGACCTACGGCTCGTGGGTCTAAGTACAAACCTTTCATGTTCAATCGTTGTTCATGGACTAGAACTCATCCTCTCTGAAGTCATCCACGACTCAACGTCGACTCATCGAAGGACCTTCGGCCCGTTAGGCACTTCATCGTTCCATACTTAGTCCATGATCCTCATCATATCACCCACATCAACCTCTTATGGCTCGTCAAAGGAATGACGACTTGTAGGTGGGCTCATTCGTTACCAAATCAGTGTTGTTTAAGGTACTTTTAACACCACTGCTCCTAAACCTATTTCCTGCAAAATTAGATTAAAATACCATCATATCTAACAAAGAAATGCCCAAGACATATGCAAAACTCTAAGTTTAATGCATCAAAAATACTATAATCTCACGGTACATCAACACCCTCACCTTAAAATTGCTGCATTTCCTCAAGCGACACAACAAACTCTAAACGACACTTATGCAGAAGCAACACATAAACTCAAGCAATCACATGGAATTTTCTAAACAATAACCCTCTTTAACTATTTTCAACATAGTGTAAATCTTTTATTCTGAATCAACAAGCTAACTTATGCGGATCAATACATGACATAGACATACCAACAAACACATTCACATACACAGACAACCACCACAAAGATACTAGCTCTTCAACAAAGTAACTTGTGCCCTT